ATCATATGTAACTCATTAAATATCAAAATTAGAAGAAAAGAACACTATTTTTAATTACAGGAAATGCGTTTTTCTAAGGTACATAAACTTTTGGTATTGATTATATAGCCAATACATCCTTAAATTATTCGTCACCGGAAGGAGAATTTACAGAATGAAATTCGATTGAACAATCGACTCGGCACAATTCGAGGCAAACACAATTGGCCAGCATGAATCGACGTTTTGATCGAACGGTAATTTACATTCGGTTTGCTACGAATTTTGCTGAATGGGCCATGTTGCTCGCCTAAATTGTACAGTGCAAATTCACGTTCGAAGTATCACGTAAACACAAAAATCTTTAATCTTCACGGGAAGGAAAATGCCAGCATGTGTTTCAAAAGGTAACGGCATACAATGACTAAACGCGCATTAAAGAAGTAATCGCAATGAGAGGATCGTCGTCGACTATAGTAATTGGTAGAAAAACTGGACATCGTCGCACGAACACTATTATCGTAAGGTATAGTACTTAATTATCCAACTTGAAGTAGTACGACCTACACTTAAAGAGCTTTGCCAGAGAATCTAGGTCCCTCGTCACTTTATTACTACGAGAGGGGCTTAAAAGAAGAAATTGCCTAGTTTATTCTCATAACTGTGCTACTTCCAGTTGCGAACAGCCGTGCTCTGGCAATGTGTAAAATGAAAAACTAATTCAGGCCCGCGGTAGTGCAACAATTTGCATCAACAATCATCTCCTGCGACTTAATTAGTTTAAAAACGACGTAAAATCTTCATAACTCGAGTCGGGGTCGCAGAAAATTGACACAGGAATTATCGTCTGACATGGAACGCGTCACATATTTCAGTAACAGGGAAGACGTCTTACTTCTCGGTGCCGTAAGGAAAAAGCTCGCGTTAAAAATGCAGACATTTCTTAAAATCTACCAGCTGCTAACAAAGGGGGATGGCACGAAACCGACGCGAGGCGCGAGTATTTTTGTTCTTTTCCACGGCGAACTTATACACGCGCGACTTCTCGCATCCAGCGAAACGCTCGTGGAAAGAAGAGAATGAAGTGAAAAGGAGAAAGGCAGCAGGCAAGATAAAAGGCTAACGAAGAAACGGTAGAGGACCGGGTGGGCAACTCGAACGCGCGCGGCAACGACGATGAACAAGACGACGACGATGGTATGCATTATGCAGAAAGGTCGCCGGCTCAAGCTTCTATTTGTCCTCCCGACTTGGCAGCGGCGGACTGCTACCGCTGCGACTTCGAATACATTCGCGATTAGGTGGCAAATCGGATGTATACGTATAAACGTACGTCTGTATGTACATTCAGTACTGCCCGGCAAACGGGGTACCTCCGCTGGGTTCTTCCACTGCTGATTAAATAGAACAACAGATTCCGATCTAATCGTAAATGATCATTTCGAAAATAACTAACAAATCTAAATATTGAATTAAAAAACTGTCGAGACCGAAGCTAGGATAACGCAGTTCATATGATTGGTACAGAGAAAAACGTCCAAGGCAGAATTTCATCAGAAAATCCTGAAGTTTTTTGCACCGCACATAGTTTAAATTTATTACTAGGCGACCTCAACTGTTTCAATGGATATGTCCCATTTCCGAACAATTTAAAGATTTTAAACAATAGCTTTTGGTCTTGTATGAAGGTAGAAAATCTGAATGAAGCACAGCAAAAACCAGTTACATAAACGCTATAGGAATGCCGACTGGATTCTGTTAAAATTAAATTATATTATTTGGTATGAATTGTTGTTTGCTATCTCCTTTGTAGAAGTTTACAAAAAATCGAGACTGATTTGAGTTCAACTCAACTTTTAAAAGGGTTTCCATTTATAAAATTTCGAGAAGATGGTTTTACAAACTAAAGAAAAATTGAGGTATTTCAGTAACTTATAAAGAAGTCGAAGCAAGAGAATGATAACGTTTCTATACATAGCCACAAGAAAGAATATTTAATTTCATGCTCTTATCTACAGAAAATAAGTTACGGATATCAAGAGTCCCGTTATATCTAAAGGCAACTCTGTACATTCCTGCGAGAAAAGGTTTTCATTGAATAGAACCGCGTATCTACCACGGCCAACCTCCGTTTGGTACACTGCGAGAATAGCTTAATTCCGTTTCCGTAGTGCCAGTCTCGACAGGTTCTCCGGAAGTTTAAAATTCACCCCTGCAGCGATGTCGCGCCGTTAACATCCCAGTTCGTTGGTTGGAATCCGGGGAAAGATTCGAGCACAGGAGATCGATAACCCTCCTTTTTTATAACTTCCTCTGTCTCTCGTACAAATGCTATTAGCGTAATCAGATTTCTCCGCGAGAATGTAAAGATCGGCGGAGTCTCAAATTGAATTTAAGTCGTGGCGTCAACTCCGAAACGGTGGCGGCGCAACGTGTGCTCGTTTCCCGGTCGAGGAGTAGATCGAACGGTATTCTAGCAGATAAGCGTTCCTCCCCGATGATTTTCTCGCTTATCGATCTCGGCTACCTGCCGTGAGCTCGGTATAAATCGTTTCGCTGTATGAATTCTAATCCGCGTCGAACAGGAGAGAAACAAGCTTGCGCGAGACTTCTCGACAGTTTCTCGCGACGCGATCGTAAATTTCGCGCGAGAGAGGCTCCGGCGCGGCGCTACGTACCCGTGGCTTTTCCCAGGAGATCGCTTAAAAAGCGAGAGAAAAGTGCAGCAGCGCAACACGAACAAAGTGTTCGGGGTAAAGTACGGTACAGGTACGCATCCGAGTGAGCAAGCGAGCCACTCTTAGGCGTGGCTCGCCCTACTTTCCGACTGGCTGCGAGACGAACGCCAGAGATCGAGAGTCACTTCCTCCGAACATCGTCGGTTTCCGATTCTCCGCGGTAGCTAGCTAGCTAGCTAGCTACCAGGCAGCTAGCTTCTGCGACGCGAAACGAGACTTTCTCCTACGACGCGACAGACGAGTCACGAACCATCGGCCGTCGTTACGACCCGCCCAGCTACACCCGACTCGCTCGTCAATAGGATCGGAAAACCCCCCTCGGCGAAAAAGAACCGATTTAATTTTCCTCATCGGATCGTTGTCGCGAGGGAAAAACCTGGGAGAGGAAATTGTAAAGTCGAGCGAATAGATCTTGAAACGAAGGAGGATTCCACATAGTAGCCTAGAAGCAAACACGTAGCGGGGTTGAACGAACGCT